TCAGTGTTTTCTCATGCCCACCCTCCTCTCCTTTTACAGACTTAAGCTCTCCCTTGTGTTTTCTTGAACATATTTGACACTGACAGAAAACAAAAATAACTGTCTCCTAGTGCCAAAATCACTTTAGATGAAAAGCAATTTACTGTCAACATTTGTCCTTTCAAATCCATGCACAATCCTGCATGCTCATCCTTCTGAAGACTGGTCCTCAGCTACACTGCAAGGGTTGCCTGCAATACATCTACCGTGGGATGTCCTCCTTTCTATAGTCCTTCTACCCATGTAGTACCTATTTTTTACAGCTCTGTGAAATCCTACTTGCCAGTATTTAGTCACTGACCAGTGAGATCAGACTCAGCATATTTAAAACTTCCATTTAAAATCATGTTCTGGCTATCACAGTTACAACAAAAAGCTTACCAAAGCAGCACTTTTGTCATGCTGAAGCTAAGGGGCAATCTGGATGCAGATGGTGCTCCTGGCAGTATCCCAACAGCACAGAGAGCTCTGCTCCCTCTTCCTTAGCACGGCAGGAGAGAAAAATGAAGAAACATTTTGTAGAAGATTGCCCAAGTCCCTCTCAGCTCAGTCCTCTGGCAAAGGCCTCCACAGATTGTTGCAGCACAAGCAGCTCTAGTATCGGGCTCAGAGCATGTCAGTACCTTCTCTCTGACCATCTTCCAGCTGCTGCTGCAGGGCAATCTTTTCCCCACTGCCAACATGGCTTGGTAATACAAGGAACAAAATTTACATCTGTAGCTTTCTCTTCCTCACAAGAAATATGAGAAAAGTGGCACCCAGGAATGCTGCTATAGCAAAACAAATCCAAATCCTTGTTCATGAGGCTTCTGCACAGTCTCTCATCCCAGAGGCCATAATAACTGGACAAAACATTTCATGCAACTAACACAAGAGCCTATCTTGCACTCCTGTTTCACAAAACTGGAGACAGCCCAAGGAAGAAGCTCATGGCAATGGGGGCTGTCTGGAGATGAAGCACCAGCTACAGTGATTGCTTCTTTCATTCCAACTCCTGGAGAATTGGGTGCTGCACACCATTAGAAAAGCATTAAGAGCATCTGAGTAGGTATCAAGCCAGCTCTTCAATCCATGAAGAAACTTACTTGAGCCTGAAGGATTAGGATCAACTCAAGCTGAAGCTACTAGCCTGGGCTGGGATACCATGCAACTATTACTTTCTAGTTCTTAAACCAAAATAGTAAAAATTAAAACTTCTAGCTGCTCAATGGTTGTGAAGGACAATCTCAAAAAGTCTGCAGGCATTCTGTAAAGCAGCAGGAACAACAGCTCTGAGAGGACTGAACCAGAGCATTTGTCTCATCACACTGTAATTAGTATTTGTGCATGGATGTTAGCCATTTTATGTCTCCTTAAAGCAAGTTCCATACCCTTACATCATACTGTGACTAACAGTTTACTCCAGGTGTTCTATCTTCTCCATCAGTCAAGACACACATATATATACATGTATATACACATATGTGTATACACACACAGAGTGTGAACCCTAGAGGCAAAGCATGCAGCAGATGTCTGTACAAGCACAGGATTCAGTAGCACACACAATCATAAATACACATTGTTATTTGTGCCAATGATGGCCAAGCAAGACATTTTCCTTATGTGGTAAGACTAGAGACAATTGTCTTTGTTTAGAAAGTAAAAATCTATCTGCTCTATTTGCTTTGAATATCACTGAAAAAAAAATAAATAAAAAATGCATGTTTGGTTAATTGTTTTGCCTGTTTTACCAAAAAAAGAAGCACACACTACTTAAGGTGATGTGTTATCACTGGGCTGCAGTATTTTAGGTGCTTTGAACTATGTATTCTGCTATAGTTCTGAATTCCACTGTCAATTTGCTAATGCCCTTCCTCCTCTAAGGGACAAATCGGTTCCTGCTGCGGTTACAAGAGGAAAAAGAACATTGAGCAACAGCGATGAAAAGGAAATGCTGTCATAAAACAGTCAGGTCACAACTGAGAAAAGAATTACACAAATTCTGAAGTAATTTTAGCTTGGCAGAAAAGGATCATCTATTTCTTGGTTGATTTGGTACTGTTAACAGCCTAGAGTTGTGCACTATCACGTTAATTCATCAAGAGGTAATTAGTGATAAAGCAAACATTAAGTGATAGGCAGGAAAACCAAGTTTATTTATGGTAATTTACATTACTTTTTATGAAATGGAGAAAAGGAGAAGATAAAAAAAAACAACCCTGAAGCTACAAGCTAAGGTAAACAAAGTATTTCACAGCAAAATAAGAAAATTAATCAAGGCAATATTAAGAAATATATATAGAGATGTAACAGGAGAATTTTCTCTCCTACATACACATTGTTTATCCTACAAGTATAGGGGAAATTATGGCCTTGAGATAAATGGACAAATTTCCAGGGACTTCCCCCATATGATCTACTAACTGCTTGCAAACAATTTATTCAACCGAGCTAGGAAAAGCAGGGAGGTGAAGGGCTGGGATGTGCTTGTCAGAATCACTTCAGATGCACGAGTCAAGAAACAATGTCTTTTGAGTGACTATTGGAAGCATCAGCCAAGCGCGACTCAGGAGTCCTACTGTCACTGCCAAGTAACTCGTGTACATGATCCTCAAAAGTCATCAACAACCTTGTCAAAACTGAACCCCAGCGTGTCACCATCACAGCCACCCACTGGCACTTTTACAGCACAAGGAGGCAGACCGGAGCTACTAAACAGTCTAGGGGGAGATGTTCATGAGAGGTAGAAACGCACTCGATGCCTTCATGCCCAGTCTGAACGCAGCCTCCTCTGAAGGGAGGGAAGAACTTGCCTGTTCTTGTCTGGCTCTTTGCCTGGACAAGATAATATTTTATTACATGAGAACAGAGATGAGAGGACTTGACTCTCAAGCTTGGTGTCCTTTGTACTGACCTATGTAGTCTTAGTCTTCTTTTCAGAACTTTTCAAAACTGCTTACTCAGCTGAAGTACACCTCATAATCTTTGCTGGTAAGAAAGATCTGCAAAACCCCTCATCTTTCAACTGTGCCAAAGACATGTAAGAAGAGCTCCTGTGGATAGTTTCTTATTGTGCAGCAACAAAATTGATCTGTCTAGATGACTTTGAAGTCCCATCTGCCATAAGCAGCCTTCTTCCTATCTACTGTAGAAATTAAATCAGAAATGAGCTTAAGAAAATGTCTTCTCAGCTGCAGGAAACTCAAATATTTGGTTATAACCAAAGTCCTTGATGCAACAGAAGTTGTTCCTGTTATAAATGTGTTCTGACAAACACATTCTGTTGTAAGCTAAATGACTGCTTCTTGTAGAAGCCTGCTGAGATCACATCAGCCTACTTCTGACCAACATCTCCCTCAGGAACAGCATTTTCCTCAACATCCTCAAACCTGAAATACAGTCAAGCCTCCACTTAAGAGATGACAGAGACCAACCCTTTGCAACAATCACCTGCTTCCCTCCTTTTGGGGAAGGCTGAAGCAGCAGTGAGACAGATCCAACAGTGTCCTGGTTTGAGCCAGGATGAAGCCAATTTTTCTTTTTACTGATTTTTTTTTCTTCAGTAAGCTTTCTTGTAACTAGCAACTGTGTGTTCTGCTAGGCTGATAAGACACTGGAATGTTTTTCTAACTACTGAGGCTTCAAGGTCGCACCTTCGCTCTGCCAGCTCAGACACTACGGGGAGATCTGTGACCCCCCCCGTAGGAGGCTGAGTTAGACAGACAGCAAAATTGGCCAGAGATATTCC